CAGAAAAGGCATTTGACAAAATCCAACAGCCATTCCTGATAAAAACACTCAACAAAATAGGAAATGAAGGGAAATTCCTCAACATAATTAAGAGCATATATACAAAACCAACAGCCTACATTACTCTCAGTGGAGAGGAACTGAAAGCCTTCCCTCTGAGAACAGGAACCAGACAAGGATGCCCTTTGTCACCACTCCCATTCAATATTGTGTTTGAAGTCTTAAAAACAGCTATACAGCAAGACGGAAATTAAAGGCATCCAAATTGGCAAAGAGGAAGTAAAACTCTCTCTATTTACAAATGATATGATCTTATACATAGAAAACCCTAAAGACTCTGTTAAATATATATATATATATACTAGACCTCATTGGAAGATTCCGCAAAGTGGCAGGATATAAGATCAACATACAAAAATCAGTTGGATTCCTCTATACCAAAAACTACAGCGCTGAAAAGGACATTAGGAAAGCAATATCATTTACAATAGCCACCCAAAGGATGAAATAATTAGGAATAAATGAAACCAAAGAAACAAAGGACTTACACAAAGAAAACGACAAAACACTACTAAAGGAAACCAAAAGAGACCTACAAAAATGGAAGAATGTACTGTGCTTCTGGATAGGATGACTTAACATTGTGAAAGTGTCAATACTGCCCAAAGCAATTTACACATATAATGTAATCCCAATCCAGATTCCAAGGACATTCTTCAAAGAGATGGAAAAACCAATTACAAAGTTTATATGGAAAGGAAAGAGACCCAGGATAAGCAAAGCACTGCTTAAGAAGAAGAATAAGTTTGGAAACCTCTCACTCACTGACTTCAAAATTTATTCCACAGTTACAGTGGTCAAAACAGCTTGGTACTGGTACAATGAAAGATACATTGATCAGTGGAACAGAATCGAGAACCCAGAAATTAATCCATCCACATACAGCCAACTGATTTTTTACAAAGTGCCTAAATATATTGCATGGGGAGGTGATAGTCTCTTCATCAGATGGTGCTGACAGAACTGGAAAGTGATATGCAAAAGACTGAAACAAGACCTTCACCTCACGCTTTATACAAAAACCAACTCAAGAGAATCCAGAAATTAAGCCATCCACATACAGCCAAATGATTTTTGACAAAGTTCTTAGGCATATTGCATGGGGAGGAAATAGTTTCTTTAACAAATGGTGCTGG